TCTGGTGTTTGTGGATTAATTTTCCTGACGATTTGGGGGCTCTGTCTGGGATATTTCCACCATCAAGGGCAGCAGGCAGTGAGCGGAGCTGAAGGCGCCTCACCCAGTTTCGGTGATCAGCTCCCCTTGGTGGTGGCTGGCACTGGACGATTGATTGGGTTCCCGAGACTGTCCAGGAGACAGACGAGTGGTGGACCAGGGGGGTCCGTGAAGAGTCCACAGGGAAGGACCCCTGAAAATCTCACCAGTGAGTGAAATGGGATCTTGGGAGTGCAAAACTGGGAGGGCAGCCATGGAAGGTAGCACAGGTAAACCTGAGAGGGCAGCCATGGAGGGTAGCACAGGTAAAATAAGGCACCCATGGTGGGTTGCAAGGGTACAGCCAGGAAGGGGCCCCAGCGAAAGGGATGACGATCCCAAAATATCTCCAAAGAATCCCTTGGAAGAATGTTGGTTTGCATATTCTCCCAGAGGTAGTTAAGGATATAGATGCCCAAAGGGGGCAATAAAGGAAAATCCAGAAGGGGTCTTGGCACTCCATGCCCAAGAGGGGCAATCAGGAGAGTTGAGAAGGGGTCTTGATAACGGGGGATGGACAGATCATGTTGGTGTGTTGGAACAGAACTGGTTAAAGGGGAGTGTGGTGAGGAAATATGTTTGAGGCAAGGAGCAGCAGGACCAGGCGTGGAGGTGTGGGACCAGGAGCATGGACTAGGGGCCTGTGGGGCTGCTGGGACTCAGTGCTGGGTAGTGCCTGACCCCACCAGCCCCGGGCAGGGGCTGCAGTGGCCACTGGCCCCGTGAGGCTGTGGGATGCCCTGGCTGCAGGTGGAGTGCCAGAGAGGGGTGGAGCTGTTCGGACAATGTGGCAGGGCAGGGACTGGCTCTGGTACACAGTGTGTGGTAAATAGAGTGAGCACAAGGAGGAAAGGCGAAGGTGATGGCAGAATTTTTCCAGCCCAAGAGGGAAAAATTGCAGGGCCCAAGGGACTCCCTGGGACAGAGGGGACAGGGTCGACCACAAGGATGTGGCAGAGGCATTTCTTCCCCAGCAGGGGAGACCCAACCCAAATAGTGGTTGGGAAAAATCAGTGTGCTGTCTGCAGGGCAGAGGGACATTGGGAACGGCAATGTCCACCAAAACAGCTGGACCCTCAAGAGGAGGAAGTCCAGAGGATAATGGAAATGGATTGTTAGGGGTGTCAAGGGCTCCCATTGTACCAAGGACCCACCACCCTGGAGCCTGTGTTAACTTTTAAGGTGGGTCCGGATTGAGAGGAGGTGTGTGCCCACACAGGACACACAGGGCCTGTCAATCCACCTTAAATTTTATCCCAGAGGGGGAAAAATTGTCAAAAGGATCTTTGTTCAAACGAGTTGTGAAAACTGTGGTTTCTTCTGTAGGCTCAGAAGTTTGAGCGCATTTTTCTCTGAGAGAATTGTGGAAATTGTAGTAAATTAATTTAGTGATTTAATTAATTTGTCTACATGGGGTTTTGTGCAGAACTGAAAGGCTCCAGTTTGGAAGGGACTACACCCCTCTGCTTTTTGTATGTTTTGTTGTAAAATGACAGAATTGGCAGGTTTCAGTTCTGAAGTCAATTCTGAAACTCTTATCTTGTAGGGAACCCCCCACCAGTCTGTGGTCTGTTGTTGAGAGCCAGAATTGGCATGTTCTAATCCTGAGGCCAGTTCTGCAGCTGCTGCTGCCTTGTGGGGCTGGTGTTGTCCCCATGCAGGCCCAGGTATTTATCATGCAGCTTCCTCTGTGGGGGCTATAGGAAAACTTTAGGGGATAGTATTTTTTTATCTTTCCTTGGTTAAATTGTTAGTCACGTCCCAATGCCTAAGATGGACTTGATGCGAAAAATTGGGACAGGGAGCAATTGGTTACTAAAAAAAAAATGTGATTTGCTTTAGGCAGTGGCATTGCTTGAACTGAACTGGATCATGTTTGAAAGGAAAATCACTGGAACAAAAGGAAGGAAAATGGTACAACAACAATTGACATGGACAGTCCTCCCACAGGGATATACAGAGTCACTGGTTTTGTTTGGGGAAGCTTTGCAGAAAATACTAAGAGAGTTTACTCCAGCCTCAGGAGTTAGGTTGTTGCAGTATGTGGATGATTTGCTTTTGTCAGGTGAACAGGAGAAGGTGGTTGAAGAGGCTACTGTAAAGCTGCTTATTTTTATTGCTAAAAAAAGACTTAGAGTGTCTGAAAAGAAGGCCAGTTGGTAGGAAAAAAATTTTTTTTTTTTGGCAAAAATTTGCCAAATATTGAGCACACATTCTAACTGGAGAGTTGTGGAGTATTGATTCAGAAAGAATACAAGGGATTTTACAGGTGCCATTACCCCAGACAAAAAAAAAGTTACGGCAGTTTTTAGGCTTGGTAGGGTGTTGTGGTATGTTTATTCAGTTCTGTTAAAATTGTTGGTGTTTCGTCTGTTTGGTATGTTCCTGGTTCTCCCCCATTTACTGCTTTGGTTGGTTCCATTTGTCTGTTA